AGAGAGAGAGAGAGAGAGAGAGAGAGAGAGAGAGGAGGGGGGCGGGGGGGGAGGAAGGAGAGAATTTCTTCCTCAAGGTGACAGCATGGCAGAGTAAGGTGAAAGATTCCCCCTGAAGAAGAGTCATCAAGGGGGCCTGGCACCACCAGTGCAATTTTTTTCACGTCGAGAAAACATAAGCCAAGTCCCCGAATCGGTGAGGGTAATCTTCTCACCCAGTTGTGCTTGCACAAACATGGGTCCCCCTCCCCTCTTGGATTAGGGCTTTCTCGCACGTATCTGAGCAAAATTATGGTGTATCCTCGATGCATCCGACCCGACTGTCATCCTCATCACAGATTAGTCGTCAAAGAAAGTGCCAGTGTTAGCATGCCGCGAGTCGTCCCAACCCGTACGGGGATTTAGACGATCAGCATTTGCAGAAAAATGGCTGACCCGGCCAAAGGAAAACCAAGAACTAACGAGGGCTGGGAGGGGTTAAGCGAAAAGCAAATCAACAATGTTGGCACTGTAGCTGGTTCGACAAACCTGGCTCCCCGGATCCCGGGTTGGGGGGTACCCACCCCCGAACCACCGCCGGGGCTGAGGCGCGACAACCCTGTGACTCATGGAGAACATCTGACATTACAGCTGCCAATCATTAACAGATTGGGGGGGGGGGGGGGGAGAAGGGGACCCAAAAAAAAGCATGAATCGGCATGCCATCTGAAACAGCACCTCACCCAAATTAAGAAAGAAGTGCAAAGCCAAACACGAAGGCAAAGGCAGGGAGGAAGGGAGAGGGGGGGGGAGGGGGGGGAGAGAAAGAAGGCAAAGGCAGCACCTAGGCCTCGACAGCTGCAGGAACATTCACCCCAATAAGCACAGCAAGGGACACCTACTGTGATCTCCCGAATACAATGTACATTCATTATAGCTGTGTATTTGGAGCAACAGTGAGTCTAGGTACGGCAATAACAACCATACGGTAGATTGTCCTCCCCTCCATCAAGCACAGGCATCCAACACAGACAGCACGTCGTTCACACATCTTCCCTACTCCATCACACATCTGTCACTCATTTGTCACCCATCTGTTGTGCAGCTGTCACACATCGGCTGCCACGCATCTGCCGCCCGCATCCGCATCCACCATATCCGCCGCTACCACCAACAGCAGCACCAGAAGGTCCAGAACAGACTACCACTTGCGCTCCCTGCGCCATTGGCAGCCCGCCATTGGCAGCCCGCTGACACAGGTCACCAATTTCTTTCTTTTCTTTTTGCCTATATCAGCCAGGGGAAGCCAACCGGGGGGGAAGCAATACACTGTCCGAGTAGAATCCTGCGTAGTTAAGTTCCCACTTATTCCACTAAGATTGAGCCTAACCCCGGGTGAGGGATGGAAGGGACGAAGAAATAACCCCTACCAAGACCAACCAGGGGTCGCAAGCCGACTGGTGAACCCGCAGTGTGCCGCAGCAGGCCGTGGGGAATCGAATCCACGACCTCCTGAATGCCCGCTTTCGTGCTCTACCAATTGAGCTATAGGCCGCTGGCTGTCACAGGTCACTGTTTTAACTTTTAAGCCATCATGATGGTCTCCTGCAATGAATACCGTTTTAAAAGAGGAGAGAGATTCCGAGAAGCGGGTCGCCTGATGGTATGACAAGAGTCATGGGTTATGCATGGGTCAGGTGTTGCATATAGCTCATCGCATCCAGACAGACGCATATGCGTATTGCTATGCTCGGCTCCAATCACACCCAGGGAGGGAGGGTTATGCTTCTAAAATGCTCCGTCCCTCTCAGTGAAAAAAAAAAAAAAAAAATGCCTGTGCTAAATTCATGTACCGAGCAAAAAATAGCTTCTACATTCGTGTACCAAGCCAAAAATAGCCGGCATCCGATGCGATGAGAGCCGTAGGGAGGGTTGTAGTTTGTACTTCTAATGCTCCCTCCCTCCCTCTCACTTGTTCTCCCACAGGATCATACATAGGTCCCTTTTCATCCCAACTTTGTGTACAAGGTGTCAGAACCCTATATATATCGTCACAAACAGAAGTGCCCGGTAAACCGTAGGCAGAGAGAGAGAAGAGGACAACAAACGAGGGGCTGTGACAAACTGTTTCGTCGGAGTTTCACCGACTCATCAGGAGGCTGAACCCTCAACAGTCTGCAGAATCCCCTCACTGATTACACTGTAAATGATAATCTACCTTAACCGAAATCAAAGTAGACTATCACTCACCCACACCAGATGGAAAACTCTACAGACTGTCGGTTCACACCCCATCACAACCACACAGCTTGTCCCTCGGAATATATCCACTAAAATTGGAATGATACGTAGAAGATTAGCGTTGTTTCCCAAAAAAAAAAAAAAAGATTAGTGTTGACCCCAGCTTGTCCCTGCCCATTTTTTTTAATAATATTGGAAAAAGAAAAGGCATACCCTGTAGATAAGCATGATCTCAACAAAAAGTCACCAGATGGCACATACGATTCGAAAACGAAAAAAAAGGAAAAGAAAAAAAGAAAAAGAAAAAAAGAAAAAGAAAAGAGAAAAAAGAAAAGGTCAGGGTAGCTGTAATTCATACAAACTAGGCCTGGAACCAGATAGCAGACCTGGAACAGACCAGCAGACAGTTAATTTGAGTTAAACCTATTAGAATTTAGAAAGAAAAAAGACGCCAACACAATGCACACACATCGGACAGCACTGTTAGCGGCAAAAGGATATATTAGCATGGAAATGATGCAATAAGACACCAGTACTGTTTCGTTGGTCTCTGAGATTGGAGTAATGATTAATGCAGACGGTTGGGGGCATTCGTATTCAATCGTCAGAGGTGATATTCTTGGATTTAAGGCTTAGAAAGGGAAAAAAAAAAAAAAAAAAAAAAAAAAAAGAGCAAGAGGAGCTTTGCCACCGCAAACTCCGTATCTTTCGCTTCCTGCTTTCAATCCACAAAATTAAACCCAAAAAAAATTCCTTTCATGGGTAAATACTAAATAGTAAATACCCCCCGACAACTCGAGCAACCTCTGCTGGCAGTTCAGTTTCCTTCCTTCAAATTTGACAAGTACTCTATCTTCTTGATCTAACAAACTTCGTCCGGGAGCCTTTCCGCTCCGCCTTCTCCCTTTTTTTCCTCGATTTCTCGTCTTCTTCCTCCCCGCCTCCCCCCATCTCAAAGATGTACGGATAAAGCACTAATTGCCAGAATTTGTACGCTGCGAAAACTGGAACGGCGACGTATACGTACCAAACCTTGTCGGACAAGATGCCCATCACGTGGACAAAACTCGTGATGTAAATAATGTCGTGATAGTACCCGCACATGCCTCCCATGCTCAAATCGTAACCGCCATCGATAAGCTCGCCGTTGTCGTCATACGTGGGCTGCGCCAAGTATGCAATGCCGCCATAGCAGAGTTTATACGCAGCCAACGATAAGGCCAGACCGACCCAATTAAGCCAAGACAGAGACGCATGGAAAACCGCGAATCGGAACACCATGTGGACGGCACTAGCAATAATGACGAGCTTTCGGAGCCAGGCCAGATGCCGGTCATTCTCGTCCTTACGTTTCTTCGCCCCTTGATTGGCCATCGTCAGACGAGTGCAAGCTATTCCTCAGTATTGACAGGTATATGCAGGCAGGGGATTAAGATGGAGGGACGCTTGAGCTACAGATCGACGCACCCTTAACAAACCGCCCACAAATTCGCCGCAAGCCACACACGGCATCTATCAACGGATGCGAGTCTCGAGATGTTGCGAGAGAGGAGGAAAGGATGGCAATGGACCGATAGTCGGTTCCTAGCGTAAGGGTATATTCATACTGGGACTTCGTCAACTGGGATCTGGACGCAACTGCGGTCAGATACATCCAGGTCAGGCTGTAATTGAGGTCATATACATTTACTAAGGAAGTTCAATTGTCAGAAAGACTCAGAAATGTGGGAACCTTCCGCGCTCCTACAAGATGAACGTTTTCCTACATTTCCTACAGCCAGGGAGGGGGCTGCAACGAAGGGGTCGCAAGGAAGGGGTTGCAAGAGGGTCCTGCAAG